TTCCTTGTTCAGCTGAAAAACTACGTGTGATAATACACAAAACTTTTTCAGTATGTCACCTGGGTAACAACTGCAGCATTTATCCCTCTGTCACATACCAAAGACACTGAATTATACTGGCAAAAAAACGATCTGCCAGTACATTCCTTCTGACTTCTGCTAAACAGCTGCTTCAGTTAGCATACATCCTCCTGTTCAGTGTGTATATCCCCTACATTTCTTCTATTAGACCCAACTCCCTGCTACACTAGCTGCAGATATGATGTTGGCCCAAGATGGTCCCTTGCAGCTCTGTACTGAAAGTGAATTCAATAACATGCAATAATTAAATCAAAGTTGAACTATCAATTCAACAAGTCAAATCCTCTCTCTAGCACTTATTGCACACATCCATCTTAAAGTTATTTACACTGGTACGTTCAAATTTTTCATCACCAGTCCAAAATAAATTTTAAAAAGCACCAAACAGGCTCTATTAAGAGATCACCCAACCAAAACTGGGATATCAACAAAAAGTATAGGAGACCAGGCAAACACTTTTAAGAAAGCTACACAACAAAGGTTCTCCCACCATAAATACTACTCCTACTACATCCTGTTGTTATTTCATAGTCAGTAGCCAGAATAGTCTTGTGAGCAGTCCATGAATCAACAAGGTACCACTGAAGTCTTGATATAAAACAAGCTCATATTGCCAGTAGGAATAAGTAATAGCAAGAAGCTATAATGATGAAACATCTCACTAGCTCAAAAGCCATTAAGAATGACAGATTCCATGCTAATCTGCCTGAAGCATTACCTCAACTCATACTATCTACTTCTTAAGCACCTGCCTTTGTTCCTTCTGACTAGGGAAAAAAAAAAAACAGTAGTTCATCTTTTACATTATAGTTGCTATAAACAGGCTATCCGGGAGATCAGCCTACCAGCCAGGACACCACAACAGTTAGGCACCAAATACCAGCAAGAGATGAACTTGAATTTATTCAAGTCAGCCACTCTAAGCACATTCAATTTATATTTTGGTCTGGATGCTGCAGCTAACAAAAACAATGTACATTTCTGGAACTATGCTTTGTTATTATTAAGCAGACAAACTGCAAGATGCATTTAGGCTAACAAAAGTGTCTGTCATATTTCCCACTATTATTTTAAGTAATTTATCCTGAAGTTAGCAAACAAAACACAAGAAATAACACTTCACCACAGCTGATAAAATGGCCTCCTGAAAATAATTTTATCTTCTGTGGAAATGGACTTTTGTTTTCTAATAGTATCATTTTAGCTCGATCATGCAAAAGGTTAAGCCGGATATTAGGCAATACTCACTGGTCTCACTTTGTCTAGAAGGGGCATTCCTTTGCTTTGTACTGCATGAAATTGTAGTTGATTAAATTCTGTGGCAATTCTCTCTAAAACCTGTCCAGTTAAAAGCGGGCTAGAAAAGAGATAATGAGAAAATGAGCACACACAGATCCTTTTGTATCAACTTACTTTCATTTGCATCAGACAGGCGACTCCCTTCCTCAATTTTTGTGATTTGACACAAATATTTGAAATTTAGTACTGCTGCAACCACATGATAATAGCACATAGACTATCACAGTTGTCTGGGGCCCATGAGGATACAAGATTTGTGAGCAGAAGCTGAGGAACACGAGATCCTGTTTAGAAGTACGAAGTGTTTTTTTATTTTGTGATGATGCTTGCTGTCATAGACATCAGTCTCACAAAGCTCAAAAACTGCAGTAAGTGATCTTTACCATCCCAATTTCCTTATTTCCTTCTTCTGTCCAGTGGTAAAACTAACAACAGCTACTTCTAGAGAAACCATCCCTCTCAAGTTTATACGGTGCCAATAAATTTTGAGTCATTGAAGCAGTCTTGCTTCCAAACATGATCCTGCAAAGTCTCTGACCCTGACAGAAAACACCTGCATATGCTTTTTTGTTCTGTGTATCTAGTTAGTCTTCTGTCCACCTCCACCCACTCACTGCTGTGTGATCCAGCAGAACACCAGAGCTTATCTCACATTCAAACAGGTTCATGAAATTGTCTTTTTCCTCTGCCTTTAAGTAACACTTGCATCACAATTAACTATTACAAGCACCCAGATGGTACATCAGTTACAAAACTAAGAGACATTTTCCATCACTCCAAGATAGAGGGAAAGGACACTTTCCACAACGCTGTTAAAAATCAAAACTTGAGTCTGTAGAAGACTAAGCTCGAAAAAAAAAACCTAAAATAATAGTCACATATTCCACCAGAATTACAAAGATGTACATTTGTAAATTCATTTACAACAATACCATAAAATTCAGTTGGTCCCATCAATTAAGCAAGCACTTTTTCTTATTTTTTACCTGTTTCCTTCTAAAGTGGATAACTCATTAGTGCCTTGGGAATGTAGAATTTTCTCAATTTTCTCAACTGACTGAATAACATGGATAAGCCTCAAGACACACACCTGTAAGTAAAGAAAGACTTCTTAATGTCTGACCTCAAACCCACTACAATACCTCCGAAGATATCTGGGATACCTTTTTTTTTAAATATTATTTTTCTCCCCTGATGTAAGATCGCTGCCTTCTTAATATTTAAATGGTGCATCAGTTACTGATCAAGTGAGTCTATAAAATCCCTCAATGTAGGAGAACAGCTGTTCTTACCCCTGAATTTTTCCAAGTCAAGCAAGAAGCCAAATGTTATTTTTCCCCCCATACAAAAATTAAGCTGCTGTGTTTCAATTACTTTCACAATATACAAGTTTACAGACTGCTACAAACAAAAGTAAGAGCAACTGTAATTCAAAAAGCCAACTGAGCCAGTGTTTCCAACAAACAAAGTATTTATCATCAAGAAGACGTAATAAAAATGAAGTCAATCAAAATATCTCAGTTTAACAACCACAAAATTCTGCACAGCATTCATCTACATGGCCTAGATCTTTATAAATTCAATTTTCTAGGGGTTAATGTCAGAAGCTGCCCTAATAGACATCTCTTCAAGTTAACAGTTTATCTATCGTACCTTTTTTTTCCTGATATCTTCCTGTTTGGACAGACGATCATCTATTGCTTGAATTCCCTCACTGACACATGACCTTAGACTCTGTGAGAGAAAAAAAGTCAGCATGAAAAGCTGGCTTGCTACTATGAAGAAGTAGTTTAAAAAAACAACTAAAAATCCGAACTCTAACAATGCAGAATAGGAAACAGATTAACTACTCTCAAAGTAAAAAAAAAAAAAGGCAGAAATAGTTCCAACATTCTGTATAGATTTATCTTGCAGGAGTTCACTTGTTCATTATTTAAGGAATCCATAATTGCTTGATTGAAAGGCAGTACTACAATATAGGAAATGTAGTTTCTGCAAGTCCTAGAAAACACATCTCCTCTATTACCCAACCAGGAATATAATTTTTAAAGATTATAACAAAGACTAACATAAATAAAATATAGTTTACATATCATGCAGAAGTAAACACAAGTTATAATGACTTTTTTGAGCATACCATAACTTCTTCTCTTAACTGTCCCAAGGGTACTGAAAGCTGATTGAGGGCCTTGTCCATGCCAACCTAAAGAAATTACCATAAAAACATTTGCAACTCATTTGATAAGTTAGTTGGTGAAATTACTATTATTCTATAGATACTGAAGGAGAACTGAGATATATCCTCCTATAGACTCCAGTTTTAAGTGCAGTACAAAAAGATGTTACTTTAAACGCACGTATACAGATATCAGATTGTCACATAAAGCCAAAAGTGAAAGAAAATAACAATTTGTAACAACTTTTCTTACAATAAAAAAGATAAACCTCAATCTTTGAACCTGTTTGATGTTGTAAAATGAGGTAAAAGAGTAGGAGAAATAGGGAACGAGTAATTTTAACACAGAAGGGATTAAAACTCTCGGTAAAATGAGCTAGAACTTCTAAAGATGGGCAGTAAGTTTGAAGACTCGTGAAGAATCCTGCAGAGTGGCCTTGTCTGAAACTTTACTATTGAATATTAATGACTCACAGCATTCAATTTTACAAATATTAGAAGATGAAAACAGAAAGCATCTGCCTTGAATCTATTTTCCTCATCAGTTATAATACATAATCAGAACATATATATATATATTATACTATAAAATATAATCAGAACAAAAGTGCATTCTAAAACATATATGATGGGTCAATCCTCTACTTCAGCTAAATTCTCCAGGAATGGTCTTTCACCTCCTCTCAATGCAAGGAGACACTGTTTAACATGCCTTAAATCTAACATACGCTTTTCACATGGAAAAACAAGAAGCACGTTACAATGCACAGCGTAAACACGACAGCAGCACTTACCAGGTTCGTTGAGAGATTAACAAAGTCCGCATAGTCCTTATTTATGAGCTCTACCATGGCCGTCTTAAGGAGTTTGTAATAGAGCTCCAGATCCTCCCTGAGCTCCTCCAACTGCACGCGCTTCCTACACTCAGATACAAAGTGATCGACGTCAAAATCCGGCTGGAAACGAAACAGGAAAAGCAGAACGATGGAAGGAGAAGCGCAAACCAAGCACGCACACACCCATCCCACCCATCCCCTTCCCTGGATCAACCCCAGCGACACACACCACTTCCCCGCTGCGGGCTCAAAGAGCCTGACCGAGGCTGCAGCCCCCCCCGCTCATCCCCGGGGCACACACGGCCCCCACCCACCTTCATGAACTCGTCCTTGTCGAAGCAGAGGTTCTCGGGGCCTCGCGGCAGGTTCATCTTCCTGGCTTCCATGACAGCCCGGCTCGGCAGGCCCAATACGACAACACGAACCAGCTGCCGGCGCAACGCCTCATCCGCCCCGCGGCCCGGACGGGGCGGGCCCGGCGTGCGATAGTGGCGCGGCACCCGCTGCCGCCATGGCAGCGCCCCCTGCAGCGCTCCGAGCGGCACTGCGGGCGGGGCCGGGCAGCTCAAAATGGCGGAGCCGGGATGAATGCGGGGCTTGTCGTTTGTGCTGGCTCGCGCAGAGCTGGCAGCCCCAGGCCGTGCCAGGCCCGGTCCCTGGGGTTTGATATCTTTTGGAGTAGAGTTCCTGCTGCTTTTCTTGGTAACCTCTGCCCCTGACAGCAAAACCAGCTTTTCCTTGTCCACGCGTTTCAGGGTGTGCCCATGTGTTCCTGAGTATCAGAAATGAGTCAGAGCATAATTCACCTCCTCCATTCTGCTGCCTTCCAGTGTACTCTGTTAACATCTTCTTTCCTTTCAAGTCTTTCATTCGCAGTTTCTCACATGTTAATAAAGGTAACTTCAGATCTAAAAATATGCCTGGCTATCCTGTGCTTCTGTATGCTGCCTCAGAATGGAAGAATAAATGACTTCATTCCTCACATAAGTGCTTTACTTTCTATTTAACCTTGCCTCTTTGACCTGTACTGAGCCATTGCACTGGTGTCCCTGTTGCAGTGCTCTTTGCATGTCCATGGACAGTGGTGGGAGAGGGTCACTGGGTGCAACAGGTGTGGGTTTTGGTAGGGAGGTCAGTAAGGGAGGGCTGAAGCCTTGCAGATCTGTGCAGCGTGGGTATTAGCAGGCTGGAAGCCTACATCCCAGCTTAACTTGTTGAGCTGGTCTCTCCCGGCATGTAGTTAATTAGGATTTCCATGACTTATCAGGATGAAGAACTGAAGAGTTCAGTAACAACTGTGGGCATTTTACCCCACCTGCGTGCTGGTTGTCCCTGTGTGATAGACAGGCTGGTTTGCATCCTGTGAAACCAAGAATCCCAAGGGTCATCAAGTTCCAACCTCCCTGTCACTGGCAGGGTTACCAGCCACTAGATAAGTACTAGATCAGGTTGCCCAGGACCCCATCCAACCTGGCCTTAAATACTTCCAGGGATGGGGCATCCAGAACTCTTGGCAACCTGTTCCAGCACTTCACCACTCTCTCCATAAAAAACTTCTCCCTGAATCTATCTTCTATTATTTTTGTGCTAGGATTATTTATTTCATTTCTATTATGAAGCCTTTCTTGTTTTTCCTTTCCCAACTTTCATCACTCATTCCAAGATTTCTAGGTCTAGCAAAGCACAGGTTTTAAATTTTTTGCTCATCATTCTTCCCAAGATGCAAAGGCATGACACTTAATAACTTCCTATGAAAGCTGGAATCACTATATAATCTGCAGGTTTTGGATAACATATGATTAATGAACTCATTGAATGAATGAAGAGAGAGCATCTGAAAGTGTATCTCACTTTATTATTACTACCTGAATAGGGTTGTTGTAGGGGCTAGTGAGTAGAATAGCTACTTTTAGCTTTTGTGTGGGCACTGAATTTTAAAGATTCCAGCATCCCTTCTTATTCTCAAATAATGAGCATTGTGAGGGATGTGTAATGATATGACAAATCACGCTTAGTATAATTATATAATCATTTTCTTGAAGGCTGCCAGTGACAAATCCACTATCTTGGAACTACTTTCATTCCAGTATACATTAGGTAAGCTGGAAAAGAAAGCATCTGCTTTTACCTCCCACCACATTCTTAAGACTTCTCTCTGTTTCTATCGTTTTAAAAAGCTGAAGGCCTGACATGCAATTTATGATAAAGGAGAGAAGTGTGACAATGTGCATCATGCAGGGACAGAGATACTACAGGTAATTTGTGGTGAACGCTCTAGGTACAAAAATCCTTCAGGAAATGTAGATAATATTTGACAAACTATCATGCCAGCTTGAGTATCTTGCCTGACTAAAATGACTTCTCCATCAACATATCTCTTGGCTCTGGGAAAAGTGTGAGAAAAAAAGGTGTTTGCTGCTTTCAATACATACTAGAAACAAAGAACTCCAGCTAAACACAGAAGTTCACAACAAAAAAAAGGATATTTTCCTAATATTAATGTTTTACAGCTTTTTATTTGTTTTCTTTTGATGCATAAGACATAGGAATGAACTTGCTTCCGTGAATACAGAAAGAAGTGTTTATGCCCCTTGTTCCAGTCCTGAACACTGAAGTCAATGAATGAATGCTGCTGATTTCTTGTATGACTGTCACTCATTGCAACATGTCACTGCCTAACTCTAAAGACGTAAATAATTCTAGTGTTATCTTATCAGTAGGCAAATTAAAAAAAAAACACTTTGTCCTAATTGGACAAGGTAAGGAAGTTTGCTAATTCCTCAGGTGATGTGACTTGGAAGCTAACAATAAAATTGAAGTAATGCCATTGTTTTGTGATTATATTAAGATCTATTGGGTTGGTTTTGTTTTGATTTGTTTTGATTTAAGTATGATATGTGCTGTAAGATCTATAGTGAACATATGTAGAATATAGAACTGGAGTTTGAAAATGAACTGGCTTAAAACATGTTTTGAACATATGTCATGTTAAAATGTTGCAGAATAGCCTCTGTTCCCTGATGTGCTCTGTACGAGGTAGTACTTTACATAAAAAAACTCCTTCTGAGATGCTCACCATGATTGTGATGGGAGCTCTCATAATTCAACTTAATTATTTTGAGTTAATCTGAAAATTTCTTCTGGGCTGTTGGTGTCTCAACTGGCTCCTTGAAACTGATCAATATCCTAGACAGCGCAGAATTGGCAGCATTGGAGCTGAGATAACTGCCTGTGGCTGATTCAACTGACTCTTGCCCAAAATTCAGAGACTATCAATTTATTTCCATTGGGAAAGGAAACAGATGATAGAGTTGCTTATTTCTTTGAGAACCTGATTATTTATAACAAAGCGCATTTTCTTCAAGAGGAGAGAATTCAAACAACACCTTTTTTTTTTTTTTTTTTTTTTTTTTGTCCCCAGCCTTTCTTAGCCAACACTCTGCCCAAAAGTGCCTGTGATGCTTTTCATCAGAAGTATGTTATGGCTGTTGCTTTTGTTTCTTTCTGTGTTCTTTCTTCATCTTCTCATGCTGTCATTCACACACCTCCATAGAAGACTATCTAGTGAAACCCTTGTATGTATACAGCTAATACTTCCCAGTAGTCTCATATCTGATTGTTTAGTTGGTTTTCATTGTAATCTGTATCTGTTTTGATGGGAGATGCCTTTGGTGGCATGATTTCAGCCACCCGGTTTCTCAAAGGGACTCTGTAGGTTCTTACACATAATACAGATGAAAAAGAACAATTACATAATGCATGATCAGTGAGGTTTAATCAAACCCAGATAAGGATGTATTGTGAAAGATCCAGGAAACACATCTTTTCTGCCTTTCTACTTTTTCAAGCTGCCTGTTACAGAAGGAGAAGGAGAAATATTAGGTGTCCCTTGAGAACAGGGGTTAAGCATTCTTACCATTTGTGTTGGTAACCACTGGATGTCACTAATGCTTCACACAAACATAGAAATCCATGTATATTTTCCAGGCTGTAAAAAAAAAAAAGACTTAAGGAGCTGGCCTGGGGAAGTATTTCTGGTTAGAGTGGGAGCAGATTGTATCAGTGTGCAACAAACACAGAGCCTGTTGGGTTCACCAAGTTGTGTTGAACTGAATGACTTTATAAGTGCTAAGCAGATCTTCTATTGTAAGACTTCGAGAAACAAAGCCTGCAAAGGTTTTTTGCATGTGTCAGTTAAGAAACATGAGCACAACCAAGCTGCTAGAGAAACTACAAATGGGAAGGCACTGATATGAGTTGGGATGCATGTATGTTTTACACTGTGTGTAAGTGTACACACATGCACACACAGACTTCATCTATTATCAGCAAAGGAAAGGAAATAATGAAAAAGGCTAAGATATGTCACTACTGTATAAAGTTAAGAGGAAGAATACGTCTGAGGATTTTCATAACTGCAATTTAAAATGGCAAAGCATCTTCTGCTGGCATCACCACATAGGTTCCTCTACTGTTGTGCCCTTTTTGAATGGCTTGCACTGCAATTCTCAAAGAGACAGCTTACTCAGTGTCTTATGCTGTCATGACTTTTGCATTAAATTATCAACCACTAGGATACCTGCTGCAGATGTATGTAGGATTTCCAGACTTCTGTTCAAGAAATCTCAGAGAGATATTTCTATTTATGCAGTGCATATGCCAGATATCAGACATATCCCAGCTGCTTCAGATTTGCTGTGAATTTAGAGATCAACTGTGCAGCCACTCTGCAAGAGATGTCTGTCTACTGCCATCCAGGCAGCTGCTTTGGTCAGATTCAGCAGGCTCCGTTGCCATCCCCTTGCTGAGAATGCCATGAATTCCCTGACGTACCCAGGCAATCTGCTTGTGCACCACCAGCGATCTGCCAAGGTCTGTCTTGCTTCTAGAAATCCCAGAAAAATAGCCAGACTTCTTATCCTTCCAAGACAAAAACTGCAGAAAGTAAAAGAGGGTGTGCCAGGCTTAAAACTCTATAAGCAAGCAATAGTGAGCAAAAAAAAAGAAAAAAAGATACACTTTGTACATATACCATACTATACTATATACTATATACTATATGGTATATGCTATATACTATATACTATATACTATATACTATATACTATATACTATATACAGTATGGCCTGCTACACAAGTCAGGCTGGACAGGGCTTCGAGCAACTTGTCCAGCTGTAGGTGTTCCTGTTCATTGCAGAGAAGTTGGACTAGTTAGACTAGATGACCTGTTAAGGTCTCTTCCAACTCAAATTTTCTCAAACTACCATTTCATTCTTTATTCTTTTGCTATCCTTGTTTTGAATATTATTATTATTTGTTTTGTTGTCTGTTAACTGTTCGCTCTCTTTTCCTTCCATTTCGAGATTAAGGTTTTATTGCTATTTCATAATTGTCATCATTTTGATTCTTGTCTGTTTACTAAAGCCTAGGCCCAACTCAAAGGAAAGTGGCAGCAGCACTAATGTATGTAATGTATGAATCTTACGGTGTGGCATACAAAGAAAACCCAGTCAAAGCATAATGATGCTCAGTGTACTAATCATCTTGCTGTAACTATGATTTTACATGGATTGTATCAACAGAACAAAAATTTAATTTCTTTCTATAAGCAAAAAGGCATGCTGAGTCAACATTTATCGATGGGAGCTGAATGTGAGAGAGACGTTTGCAATCTTAAGGGACTGATCATTCATAGACAGCATAGCTACAGCTCTCTTCTGGCAGTCCCTGGGCCAAGGACAGATGCTTGCAAGAAATCTTGTCAGTTCCTTTGTGGAACAGCATCCTGCTGTAAGACCTTGGGGAGCTGAAACTTTAATCTTAACTCTGGCATTGAGTTTCTTTCTGATCAGAGGCAATGTACTTAACCTTTACTTGACTCCATTCCTTCACATTTCTAAAAATGACACTGCATAGCTAGAAACTTAGTGATATTAAAGAAAAAATAATGATCCTAAACTCTATTGAAGTTAAGCTTACCCAAAGGTCTGGAAAAAGATCTCTTTTATGAGGAAAGCTGTATTTGATTGGAATTAATTTTGCCCCTTCCTACCAGGATGCTGTCAGGCTGCATTGTTTTCTTCTGAGAAGAATTCTTAATCCTTATGCAGATGGGAAGTAACAATAAACACCATCTGCTGTAAATTCGGTTACTCTCTTAGCAACCACTGTGATCAGGCTCTGTCTCAGCCTCTCATTTCTCTATGCTGAAGTATGCACTGGCACTTCAGCTTGTATCAGAGGAAGTGATCAGAAAAAAAGTGGAAATGAGAAATGAAAAATATTTCTTCCTCTCCTCTCTGTGAGATCCTGCCCTTCCTGCCAATCCTGCTACGTTACTGCTGGGGAGCGCTGCTCCTCACCCACCTTCCTCCTCTGGGGGTGGTGAGAGAAGTATCATCAAATGTTGGCAACCTCTCAGCTGCTCAATGCTGGGAGCCATCCCCAGAAGTAAATAGAATCAGCAGGAAAGGGCTGCTTACAGGAAAGAAGCTTAAAGCTGCCTGCCACTGGCAGAGCTCGGGGGGGGGGGGAGAGCCAGCAAGGCACTTGATTGCAATATGGCTTCCCCCATCCCATCCCATCCCATCCCATCCTCAGTGTTTGCCTCTCTGATCAGCCATCAGTCTTCTCTTAGAATCAAAGAATCATGGAATATCTTTGGTTGGTCTTCCCTGCTTCACCCAGAGATGGCTCCGTGATTACAGCATGCCAAGTTGCTTAGGACAGCAAATGTATGGACAGACACTTGTAATTCACTTGGCGTGGCACTGCTCCACGTAAGGTGATCTAAAAAGAGAATGATCTTTTTTTTCCCCTCCCCCAGTGTTTCACCTGGTGCCTGATCAGCACTCTGTCCATGAGATCTTGACCAGGATTGGGCAGCTGTAAGTTCAAGTTCTGCACCTATCACGCACACATACACTCAGAAGACATAAATTCAGTCTTCATAGTCATTTAAAGCACCCTTCTTATGCAGCTATATAAGGAAACCTTATCCTTATCTTGAAATCACCAAAAATATACTTGTAGATAAAGGCCTTGAATTAGACTCACTGTCAGAGGAAAGATCTTTCTCTTCTTTATACAAATATTTTGGAAAAAAATGTGCCCATCTTGACAGTTTCAAGAACTCCTCATAGAAATATTGTATGTGTCATTCCTTTCTTTGTATTTGTCATGCTATTGTTTTGAGTCAGCACACAGGTAGGCACTCTTAATCACCAGGGACCAACCTTTTTAATCTGCCCCGAAAATATTACTATCTCTGTCCTGGATTTGTCAAATTAACACATGCAACACACAATGAGACTCAGCTGATTGCAGTGAGCAATGTAGTCTGTTCAGTGCTGCACTCATCTGCCTGTGGACACATCAGTTGCGTGTGCTAACCAATGGGTGCTCCTGAGAAGTGCAGGATTTATGGGCACAGCCTTGTGCTCATGTGTTGTTCCTGCATCTCAGGCACTATACAGCTGATCTGTTGGCGCTTTGAGGAGATACCCCTTGCTTTCCAGACATACATGGCTGGAGCTAGTGAGAAATACTGCCATCTGCCCAGAATTCACAGGCAAATGTGAAAAATCCTCTCATTCTGCCCAGGCAAACTTTTTAAGTGGGAAAAGACCATATTTGAGACATATGGCAGATGAGATGCAGGCTGAGTCACTGTCATCTAATGCTGTACAGTTAGAGCTGGGAAAAAAAACAGAGCAACAAGGTTATGATATGCAGTCCGCATTCTGTCCTTAGGCCATCTTTGTCAGGTCTCACTTAGGCTACCAGCTAATTTACACCTGGCAATAAGTGATCAGAGATGACTTCACATTTTCTCTCGATTCCACCATTTTCAGCTTGTCCTCTGCAGTATAAATGTAATTAATGGCTCTCGATGGGATGCTTCTGCAGCCAACTACTTTTTTTAAAAGAAGCTTCCCCTGACCTTAGCTACAGTGTGGAAAGATATCGTAATGAAATTTTCAAGCAATTAGTTGTGTAGTGCTTTTGGCTTAGATAGGATATAACAATTTGAAGAGACCACATATTCAGAAGGTTCTTAAGAATCAGATCCTTTCAAGATGGATCGCCTTCAGTATCTGAAGGCAAGGCAGGAAAAATCATGAGTCATAAAAAAGTAGAACAAATCTGTGCTTTACCAGAGGTGTAATTTATGTACACTAGGATAAGAAAGCTCTTCTTATGAAGAAGAATTTTTAGCACGCAATCTCCTGAGATATAAGCAAAGAAATTAGCAATAGAAATGACCTATTTGGTCATTAAGTCTATCCCTTTACAGCAGGATAGATTCTATGCAATGCAGTGCACAAATAGCTCAAATAAGCTTTCATTTCTTGCACAGAAGGCTCACAGCAAGATATTACTTCTTTTTATAGATTAAAGAGACTTGCTTTGATGAATGGTCAATGTTTGGTATAAAAAAATCATTGTGACAAGATGACAATGCCCACCTTTGATAGTCTCTGAAAAGCAAAAGCCATGGTTTTGTCTTTTCTGCTATGAGTATGAGGTTCCTGTGAGATATGGGAAAAATATGCTATGGAGACTGATAAGAAACAGACATGCTCAATATTCATTTGCTGTGAAGAATATCTTCCATTCCTCCCTCACTGATCAGTGAGGGCCATTCTCCACTTTTGGAGCACACATGAATTGTCCTTGCATGTAGACGTTGCATGAATGACACTGAATGTACTCAGCTGGGGTTCTTGCTCCTCCTGGAAATGTAAAGGTGGAGGGCAGAGTGCAAGGGTGCATAGACACTGCCTGTGACCCCTTCCTGCTGAACTAGTAGGGTGTTTGCACCTGAGGCACCCTGAAGTGCAGGGAGGCATCCGTGACAGCTCTTCTCAGTGTTCCCACTCCCACTGCTTGCTGAGGATCTTTATTGTAAGTCTCACAGTAAATCACTTGTTTCCTTGGTGCTTTCATTTCTATTTCACTTTCCCACAGCCAGATGACAGAATGAG